AGGGATCTGGGGACTCGGTGAGGAGCTAATATATAGCAAATCATATTGATGTGTAACAAATTTTATGGGTGCTATCATCAGAAGAAAGGTCTAGATCAAAAGAAATGTTTTAATAATGTAGAATCCATCTGAATCTGATTTAGGTTCCTAATTCCAAAATGGTTTCCAGTGGGAACCTCTGCTCAGTTTCTGAAATGAGAGAGCAGTTTCTGACCCTTATTTTAGTCAGCAGAACCACCTGAAAAATATAGATTTCTAAAAGCAGTGATCTTATCATACGGAGGTCAAATTTATATGAACATAGCAAGAGACCTAAAGGTGATGCTGGTCAGTTAAATAATACTGAGAATGTTACATTTGTTTAAAAATTTCTGACAGAACTTTGAATTTTTGAAAGAATAACGCATTTTTGCATTTGGAATAGTTTTATCATGAAGAGAGCAAAAACCAATATTGTACTTTACGTTTTGTGATGATAATTATAAAATTCCTGAAAGCCTGGCAACTGTGAATTATGGACGAATGATACCCAAGCATAGTCATGAAAATGATAAAAGTGTTCAAGCTGTGACATAAAACAGTAGAACTCAAACTGCGAGTACGGCTTCCTAATCTGTACTTATCTTGCAAGTTACAGTAAGCTAAAGATTGGTTTGAAAGCAAGTGGAATTGTTTGCTTGTATGGATTTTTGGCTTAGAAGAAAGACTGAGAGATTGTGCTTTGCATGAGCAGCTACAGCGCTTTTAGGATATTCCTAGAGCAAAGAATCTCTTATCACAAAGACTACACTAGCAAGCTGGGTTTTCAGAACAGCAAGCAAAGACTTTCACTTTCTTACAAAATTTTACTTTAATGGCAGGAGAGAAGTTAAATACATTTTCTGATGTTAAAATATTGAAGATATTTTACACTTCCTCAACCAACTCCTATGTCCTTAATCAGTAAGTCTTTACTGCAGAAAAAGTTGATGTAATTTTGCAGCTTTGCAGTTAGTGTAGCCTGTGGCAGTCAAAGCAGGCACCTCTGCAGAGGTTTTTTAAATGGTAAACATTTATAAAGCAGCTTAGTCTCTCGTATGTACATAAGAATACTCATGCATGTGCAAGCACATACTTGTATGCAGGTGGTACAAGTAGAAGATGTGTAATATTTTTTATATATAGTCCATATGTAATCTCACAAAATGAATATCATTCTACCTTATATTCTTGTTGAATTTATATTTCTGTGTGAATCAGAAGAACGCATTTCAGATTATACTTTAGGCATTATGTTAGAGTGCTGAAAAGTAGGCCGGTAAGAGAATACTGTAAAACAGTAAAGCGCATAGGAGAATCCCACAGATATTTTTCTGAAATGCTTGTTCCTGTCATAGTGATACATGACAATTGTAATGGCTAAAACACATGGTAACAACTCACTGGTAGCTTTCTGTGCTAACTTTTTACAGGAAAAATATCTGTTTCAGGATGAAATAGTCTTATTACCTTAACCTAACTGTTGGCTCATAGCTTTCGTGAGTGACTATATATTATTAACTGACTTAAGCAAGATCTTTATTTTACTGCAGCAGTGGAGTGTCACATTTGCCTAAATTCAAAACTATCTTTTTGCTAAACTGCAGAGATAAGAAGCCTAGTATTTTATAACCAGTGGTTAGAGCGGAGTTTGGTGGAGAACATGCCCTGCTGCAGTGTAGCAAATTACTGTGTGTCAGCTGCTTTGCAATAATTGCCTATGTGTACAGACTCTGCATCTGTTGTAAGTGAGGCACAGTAATAGTTAGCAAATGGTGTTTTTATATACAGAATTATTGTTTTCAGAAATAGCAGTCATGTTATATCTAATCCTACATGGTGTAGGATTCTGGTGTAACTCTAGGCAGAGAATACAAGTTACTTTAAATAATTTTAGATTGCAAAGGAAAAGGAGTACATAGTTGATGGTTTAGAACCTTCAAGAGAGGATGTTATACCTGTATCACTGGATTAACTTGATTTGATGTAAGAAAAGCTATAGCAGATCAGATCAGCGGCCCTTCTAGCTGACTTAATGAACAATCAGTAACAGATGGCTAGGAAGAATATGTGAGCATAACTGTCGTGGAGTACTGCTTCCTGAATGGTCTCCCAGCCTCCAGCAATTTGTGGCTCAGGGTCTTTTGGGAGCCAGAACTTGTCTTTTGAATTTAATAGCCCTTCCTTGATGGAGTTTCCTGTCTTTAGCTTATGTGGTTTTCTTTTATAAGCCCACATCAATTTTTAGTATTCGTGATGTCTTGTGTTTCAGAATTTTGGAATGTTTCAAAGGCTGAATATGTTATTGTCAACACACCATACATGCTTTTCAAACGTGTTTTATTATTTGAGGTGATATGTCATCCTCCATGTTTCAGCTTTTTCTGAATCAGTTAAGTGGCTTAAAACGCAAGTGTTAAAATATGCGTTTTGAATCCAGCTGAGTTTGTTAGGGGAAGTGAAAAAAATGCTGTGCTAGTATCTGGAGTGTTTGGTCGCTTTTGATCTTACTTTTTTGTTCACCTTGGCTAAGTGAAGTGTTTTAGTATCACTGGTAGTTAGTATTGCTTCTAAAAGGACTTGTAAGCCTCATTAATGATAAACTACACTGAATAAATCCTGATTGGATGGTCACACTTTGGCATATTATGTACTGATGTATGAATGTTATGGAGATATGTATCATAAATCTGTAAATAATTATTTTACTCTAAAGGAAACGATCTTTATTGTTTTTATGGAAAAATACAATATACTCTCCTTAAAATTATTGTATTTATCTTTGATCAGGAGATGATTTTTGAAAAACTTCTAAACTACTGTGTGTATGTAAAACACAATAAAAACTAGGTGCTTTAAGAAATTCATTACTTACCATTTTTCATGTTTCAGAATGATCTTAATGGAATATTACGTAAATTTTAAACTTTCCAGGTAGTTAATACTGAAGTCTTGTTTGTGACATACATTTAAAGACATTAGGTCATAGTTTTAGGTAAATGTTATATAAAGAGGAGACTCAAATAAGCAGCTCCTGTAACTCTTTAAGTGGGATCTTTATGGGATAAAACTAATCACGAGCGTTTTCCCGTAACAAATTTTCAGATATTAAAAAAAAATCAGCTTGTATGTTATGATGAAAATGGAACATATTCTGAGGTTTTTGTCATGATTACTTTGGGCTACTTTATTCTTTAATGATTGAACACATGCATTGTAATGAACAGGTGTTTGAAAAGCTCCTTCTGTGGCACTTGTTCCTTGGTTTCACTGTGCAAACAGATGAAAGTGGAGCAGGAGCTGAGAAGGCTCTTGTACTAGGGATGCATTTGAACTGAAGTACTGTGCTTTCTTTTTTTAATGTAGCTTTCATCCTTGTGACAGATCCTTTCCATCAAATCACCTGTTTGTCTTTATGCTTCAGCTGTTTCACTCTGGTGATTCAGAGCAGCTGTAAACTCAGTTCACCTGGCCAGTGTTATCTCACCAATTTGGTGAACTGTTGAAACAGCCCTTAATTTAATGAAAGATGCAACAGAGAGAGAAAGCTGATATAGTTCACTTCTGTTTTATTGTAGCTCTGTATGGTAATACTATTTTTAAATTTCTTGTTTAAAAATCTTGTACTTTTAAAATAAAAAACAGGTTTTGGATGAGGGCTTGTTTAATGGTATTAAAGATGGTTAACATCTAAACTACACCCTTTTTTTTAAGAAGCACGGACAAGAAATCCTGTGACCATGTTAGTTGAGAGGGAAACATTACTTTTGGGGGCAAAAAATGTGACCCAAGAACAGATACACAAGAAGCATCCCAGCTGAATTTAGATACTATAGCAACCCTTGGAAATGTTTTTCTAAATTGATATTGAGGGCTTTTATTAAAGCTGATGAATACCTTTGCTGAGAAATATGTTGGAAGTCAGTGCTACCCTGCGTAGTGCAGGGAATGGAGGAGGAACACAAAGAATTTATCCTTTGTGGATAACTCCAAAAGAAAACAAAATTACGGGCTTTGTAGGCCTTAAAAGCTAACCTTCATATTATCAATGTTTTGCTAAAAGCTAGCTAGAACTTTATATCATTTTTATGACGTATCTAAGGGTCCATTGTGGTGTGTAACAAAAACTAATATGGGTCTAATCTCTTCCTGCCTGCCTGAACCCTGTCTTCACAAAAACAAATTCTTGCATTGTTTCCTTTATTCTCCTTATTTTTCTAGAAAACAGATGCATACATTTTAAACGTTTTTGTCTTCAATCACGACAGTGTAGAAACAGTGGGTTAAAGAATACAATCTAATTATTTGACAAAAATTGAATTTCCTAAAAGTTAAAGTTAACTCCTTATGTGAGACTAGCTAACGGGTGTTTGTGCTGTATGTTAAGCCGCAACAGTCTTTTATCCGTTGGTTTGATAACGTTGCCAAATACAAGGCCTTTAATTGTGAAGGGATTACGTTGAAGGAGACCTTCATAACATGTTATACAAGCTTTAATGTGACTTTATATTTGAAGGCTTGTATCACAAATACTTTAATTATTGAGGCCTTTTAGTGTGACTGAATTCAATAACATAATTAACAGAACAGTCTACTGTATTGCTTCCATACCCATCTGGCTTTGGCAACAAGACAACATAGATAGTTGTATGAATTCCCTAAATCCTTCTTTTTGATTATTTTTGTAAGGAATGATTGTTCTGCCTGTATGTTTGCAAGTATACTTTTCAGGTACTGTGTGCTTCTCTCACCTCCTAAAAAGCAAATCCTTTTGAATCTCAATTCATTTCATAATTTTCCCAGTTACAAGGGCAGAGGTTTCAACTTCCTGTAAGATTCATGAAAGTAAGCATATTTTCTATAATTATGTTTTTCAAAGATTTTTAAGGCAAATATTTGCTGCATATAAAACTTATGATTCTTTTGAAAACTTTGATTGTTCTGCAAAACTATATGGTACTGCTGTGTGTTCATGTTTACAGGCTGTACATCTGGCCCAGGCAAGTTTCCAGATTGAGGCCTTTGGCACCAAATTCATCCTTGACCTCGCACTGAATAAGTAAGTGCTCAATTTGAGGTTTCTTTCTGTTCGGCTCTAACTGTCGTTAACTTTTATAGTACAAGACCAGGGCACGGGCAGTCCTGAGATCTATGGAAAACCACCCTGGTATCCAAGTTTATTAATACAAAACAGTATTCAGCTTATTTTAAGCAAGGTAACCCTTACCTTACTGACATCCATAACATAGCCTTAAAATTTTACCGTTCCAGAAAAGTAATGGTATGTAAAGATGGAAAATACAAAGCAATAGTTTGAGCCCTTAGGAACCTGAAAGCAGTATTGAAGATTCAAGGTTTTAAAACTGACATTTACTCTTAAATTTGCAAATGATCTTTGTATTAATACAAGTTCAGTAATTGTATTTATCATTATAATTATGACTTAAAACACACAGTTCCACTGTGATTAAATTACTGACTGTTAAAATTTAGTGCTACTAGTTTTTGTGGTAATCAAAATAAAGTGATAAAGAATAGAGAAATTTCATTTTCTATATGTTTTGCATATAGTAGATTTCTTTATGTTTTGATGTAACAGAAGTAATTGCAGAATATGTGCCTTTTACTAATGGTCCTACAAGTTCTGAACCTTTGTGAACATCTGTAATAAAACTATGATAAAATACAATGAAAGCACTTCATGTATAGTAGAAAAATGTTGGTAGTTGTCAGTAATTTAGTTTCCATATAGCCAGTTTCCATATACTAAGCTTGGAAATATTGTAGAAGAGAGATTACCATGAATAATGTTTCAGAAAGCAATGTATATATTAGTCTAAATTATCTCTGCTTAAAGTGTAGTGAAATGTGCTTCAGCATTTTGGACTGTGGATGGAGCTATTTGTCATCATCTTTACTGTTTATTTACATGTCTGTACTGGACTGATCCGGGACAGTAATATGTATTTTCAGTTTCTGTCTTCTGGATGCCCTTTACTTGGAAGCAGCAAGGACTAGATGTGTATAACTCTGTGATTCACGTTCTGTATTTGTAAAAAGAGAGCTTTCATTACCACTAGTGCTTGAAAGTTTTCTTTGACTTATGGATGAACTGTCACGTAGATGGATCTTACTTTAGTTGTTCAGGTTGGTGTGTAGTAAGTAATATTGTAAATACCTATAAGAATGACTCGTCTTTAATGACGTAGAAAACATTCCGTCATTATGCGCGGCAAGTTTCTTATGGAACAGGAGTTTTAATGGTCTGGCTATATTGAAAGTTGCAGCTGGAGTCTGTTTACCAGTAAGATAAACAACTGTAGATAAGTGACAGGTCCGGAAGATCTGACTTGTAATACACATCAATGTCAGTTTAGTTGTTTGCATCACATCTATTTATATCCTTAGCATGATTTGCATGATTTTTGAGTTAGGCTTCTCTTGCAGCTCTGTCTTTTAAAATGTGACACAAGGTTTTTAAGTGGTTGGCAGAATATGAGATAGTACAAAGTCAGGGGATGGTAGGCAGAATGGAAAGAGAAAGCAACCTTGAAGACATCTGTGTTCTGTATCCCCTGGAAAAACTATGTTACAGGGGAGGACTATGGTGTTTTGTGAGAGTTGGACCCATGCAGAGTAATTCCAGTAGGATAATAATGACGTATTTGTTAAGGGAAGCTGAATCTGGTGGGCTCTAAGATGCAGGGGATTTCTCCTTTTGGTCTGCTTGCTGCTCTTTCTGTTTGCATGTGGTTGAATGTCTTCAAGGCTATGCTTGAGTGGCTCCTACCATGGCCCGTCAGTCAGTGACCTAAGAATTCTGGCCGATGTTCTTGTCTGTTATCTCCTGTTTGTTAGGGTTCATGCATGTGGGTGTCTGTTACTCTTCCTGCCTCTGATCCTAGTCTCTTATGCTGAATGGCCATTAACCAAATATCCCAAAACAGATATCCTCACGTTTCACATATCCTTGTAATGCTAACCATCTTCCACCCCTGCTGTTTCTGACTGATCATGTTCAACTATTTATCTATTTTCTCTCCAGAACTCATGCTAATTTTTTTTAAAAGTCCCACTTCTTTACTTAAGACATCAAAATTGTACCTCATAAGATTTATGACATCATAAATCATAAACACCCATAGGCAATGATTTTAAAAAGACCAGTCTTTGTATCTCTATTATATTTAAGTATTCAGCAAAATGCTGTCTTTTGCTACAGTGTTGGCTCATGCTCAATTTTAGTTGGCAGTTGTTCTGCTCATACTACTAAAGTCTTGTGAGAAGAAAAGACCTAAGAACAACAGGGCCATAGACTTGAGCTGTTACATCCTATTAGCCAAAACAATCCAGTCTCTTGCACGTGGGATATGTACTCAAAATACAGAATAAGCTTGAAATAAGTTGAATGTATACATATGTATCAGTTACTCTAAGGTGAGTTAATGTCACCTACTCTGTGTGTGTGTATATTCTTGTTCTGTCAGAGTATTTTTGTCTCACTGCTTTTTTTTGGCAAAGTTCTTCAAGTGTATGAAGCTAAAATCAGAGAATGGTTGCTACCTAGAAACACATTCTAGATTTAAGTCTTAAGTTTACCAGAGTTGGAATCTGTGCAGTTGTCTACTTTTTATATTCTAGCTGTTGTTTAATAAAATTGGATATTCAGTTACAAAATCTAAAGTATTATCAATGCAAGAAGAATGGATGGTAATCTGAAAGTTTCTGGGCTTCACACGAATATGATTTTAGTTTAGAAGAAATAACTTGCTCTTTTCTATCTTGCTTTAGTGCAGCAGGACAAGCATAGATTGAAGGAAATACAGCCTGTCAAATAAATCTCTTGAATCCGATGTGTGGAGGCAATTCAAACTTAACGATTTGTATGGAGCTTGAATGAGTAATTAGCTCTATCTGTTTTGCCTAAGGCTTGTGGTAATGCCCTTAGGTGTTAAAACAAACCAAATAGTTTGTTATCATAAAGATCATTGCTGATAGTTTTTGCTGACAAGCCTTGGAAAAAATTAGAGTTTAGATTAGAAGTTTGTACTCTTTAACAAGGTGGGTTAACTCTGGACTGTTCTGAACTATCAAACACCTTGCCCTTTGTTACACTTAAATGTTTGACCAATTTCATGCCGTCAGCCTGATGTCATTAATGACATTAATGCATAATAGTTGCGGATATGCAGATTATGCAAATAACTTGAATAGTGATACTTTTTTCTCATCTACAATGATTTAAGTAATGTTTTTAGCTAATGCTCTTAGTACAAAAATGAAAGATAATTGGATGCTAGTGGGATAAAAATCCCATTTGAAAAGTAAAGTTTTTTATAATTCAGCTATGATTGTTTGCCCAAATTGGATACATTCCATATTCAACAAGTAACATTTATATAGCATTGTTTTAACTCCCAACTTCTAAGAAAAAAATCTTTAAATATATGCATTAATTTAAAAATAGTCTTGTTTTTTCTTCAAGCTTAATGCTGTCAGTTAATTTGTGTAATCAATGCATTTGTATAATCAATGATCTGTAGTACATCTGAACAATTTTTCATGTTTTGTTTCATTTATATATAATATATGTAAACATGTATGAGGTGATAACAAATTATTCTCTAATGATCTCTCCTTAATCCCCATATGTAAGGCTTTTATGTTGTTACTCTTCAGTTAAAGGAGAAGTATTTCCATGTGCAACTGTTACGTTTTAAGCTAGCAGTTTTTACATTCCTCTGCACTACCTGATACAATTAGAGAGAAACTATATTATCAAAAGCAGTGAATTAAAAATATCTACTTGCTGCTTTTTTAGAGATGTGGGTAGTTAGCTGCAGTGTCTTTGGCACAGAAACAGCAGTTTTTGGCTGATGGTTTAGCACCGATCTCTAAACCAAGAGCCGTGCTAGAGCCTTCCTCCTCAGGGATTCTAGAGGTTGAGGCAAATACAAGCAGTAGGAAATTCAGTATCTCAGCAGGATAGAAACAGAAAGCAGAAAAAAAAAGAAAAAAGATGAAAACATCCCTCAAAATATAAGTTTTTTGGAGAAGAGGAAAACCACAGAAAAACAAGCAGCCCAGATTTTTTCAGTTTTTCATTCTTTTTCCTGTAGAAATCCACCTAAATTTTGAGGAGAATAGATTCTCTTTTCAATGAAAAGGTTATTGGACAAAAAAATCCAGCATTTTTGGTATGAACTGTGGGAAAAAAAAGTTTGACCATTAGATGACATAACTATTTGAGACATTAAAATACGATGACACTTGTGAGGAGCTGAAGTCTCAGGAAGGTTTTTTGGGCTATTGTGTGGGCTCAGAACTTCTAGTGTCAAATGATTGATACGTGTACCCTCAAGATTTTTTTATCATGTAAGATTATAATATCTGTATCTGCAGTTTCCGTTTCCAGTTCCTGAAGAAAACTTACATGTGGAATATTTTAGCAGAATTTCTTTGGTCTGCTTTATAGGTGATATTTAGCTTGCATTGAAGTATGCAAAGCTAAAACAGATTCTAAACACTATAAAAATAGCAAACTATGGAATTTTAATATAGCCTTCAGATTTAACTGATTTAAAATGAGTTCAGAATTCTGATGCTCTACAGTTGCAAGATAGCTTAAGAGATAATCCCGTTCTCATGTGTATCACAATTTGTTTATAAAGAATTTGTACTAGTAGCTGTAATGCTTCTTGTTTGCTTTATTGCTAGATTTTGTTTGTTTGTTTGTTTGAGAAGCTTGAATTTGATGATGATTTGATGGAAGAGTATACTTCATTGTTTCATATGCTACAAAAATGTTTCTTAGTTTATTCTTTCAAAGTGTTTTTCTGCAGTCTTGTTCCATCCTTACTGGCATGAAGACAACACTCATTTTAACTTAAGAATTAGGAAAGTGGAGATACAGTATGTTTAATGTATTTCAAATATATCTGTGGAGAGAGACCCTGAATCTGAGATGGTATCTGTACGCTTAACTAGATATTATAAGTAGTCTCGCTGACCTCATTATGTGTAAATCTGTGCAGACTGGGGTTATAGCTGACTGCACAT